GCGACAGGCGACGAGCATCGGATCTCGAAGTTCTCCTGTTTGGATTGTGAGGGGAAGTTAATAATTATTTGCAGTATTTATTTCACGTTTCGCTTTAACTTTTATTTTATTGAGTTCGAAGTAAATAATGATCGAGAGTTGATGTTTGAAGATGCAAGGTTTACCGACTGCATTATGCTGTGACAAACCATCTATGTTGATATTAGTTGAATCATGAACTGTTCTGGGTCAGATGGAAAGGTTTGCCCTCTCAAAAGACTGTTATGGATTTTAAGAATTAAATATAAATTAATAATTATGTCAATGATGTTTTTAGAAAAGCCCTGCTACTAAATATTGAATGAGGCAACGTTTTGATTCCAGAAATTTTATTACAACCACAAACAGATCAGACTGTATCTAGATCCTTTCTCTCAAATCCTACAGAGTCAACCAGTTACAGCATAATATAAATTTCCTTTAACAGTAATCCAACATTTTTTTCCACCTACATCCCGTTCTAGTAGTTTTGGATAATGAAGATACGATTGATTATAACTGACAGAAGAACTGAATAACGTTGAAAGCAATCCTGTAATATGCACAAGACATACATTTCAGAGCATAGATAATAAGATATAAGAAATGAGTAAGGCAATTATGCAACTCTTTACAATATATTAATAGGGGACCTCCATTGCTTTGATTACATGTTGAAAAGAGCCTTAATACTTCCAACTCTCAAACACAAAAAAATAAAAATAAAAAAAGAAAAGAATATATTTTTTGTTTGTAATTAAAGCTTCTAAATGGTTAGTATTTTTTTTAAAGGGGGAGGGAGGTACCTATGGAACATTTGTCTTGGGTACATGTGCTATGTTACAAAACTTATCAGTACAACACAAAAAAGAAATTAAAAAAAATTAGAAGCTAGTTCAACATACTTCAATAGGGGTGCAGGGGCCCACACTCCAGTCATTCCATGTATTAACATTAATTCAAACACTGCAAATAAAGAAATTGTCCACTAAATTCTACTAAGAGCCCTCCAAAGCTAGATAACTTGTAGCTTACTCAGATTAATTTTCATTTGCCAATATTGTGGGAGAAACACAAACCAAAATTAACCCTCCAAAAGATAAATCTTTACCTGTCATAATAATTACAAACTAGAATAACATAGTGAATCTACATTTTGTGTCCAGAATACACACTACAGATGAAACTTTAAGCTTCTGCACATAAAACCTTGAATATACCTTGACACCAACGACAATGGCATCCATTGAGTACTTGTAAGCAAGATTCATGACATTTGTCATAAGTTAAAACTCCATATAAAATACAACTGAAATGATGGCTGACACCTTTTCAAAAACACACTTTGGTTTGAATCAAAAGATTCATCAAGTACCATAATATATCTTAAAAGCTAAGCAGAAAATAAATGATAAGATTATGTTGTCGTCAGACATATTTGTTGAGTAGAATTACATTGGTGGGCCCCCAATTTTCATTTTTGTTTTTGCATTTTTTCTTGCATTTTTAGCTCAGGCCTAGAATGCACATGAAAAAGTTAAAACAGGTCCATTAAAGCATATGCATAGTTTGCATAGCTGTGTTGACAATATATGGCAACAACAGTTGACATTATACAACAGAGCTGCAATTCTGAAGCATTATAATAGCACATCAAATATGATGCACATATTCTGGTTGTAAAAACATAGTCCTTTCAGGTTTACAAGAGCATAATGCTCTACGACTGCAATGCAGAAATCATTTACGTCCCAAGTTCAATTGAATAAAAGATGATAATTTCCTTCATCTATTTCACCTCTAGTATTAAATAGAAAATGGGAGGTCTGCGGTCAGATGATTATGTGATAAGCATTTGGTACAGACAGATAGTACAAGCACATGGGATCAGAAGAATCTTGATTTGATGAGAGATGTATGTACCTTCACATTGTGTTTGTAAAGTAAGTAATGAATGACACTTCACAAATTAAAAAAAAAAGTAAATGGAAATCCTGTTGTTTTTTTCAATGAGGCGAAAAAAAAGCAGTGTCAGATGTTCCCAAAAATCCAACAGGCTGTCACAATCAAACAACTTCAGTTCATTAACATTCCCATGATTGACCTAGCATTTCTGGATGTTCCAAGAGTCAAACATCAAAACATTCTTAATTTTTATGTAACAATATAACAAACATAGAAAAATATACTTTTCACCGTAGAAACAAAGCAAAATCAATATGACGTTTGATCGACAATTTTCGTAAGGCACAATCATGATTGATGATATATAAAACGGTGAATTCTTCCATGATATAGATATAAAACAAAAGGAAAAAAACATCACATCCTGGTCACAACATTAAGATAAAAGTCACATCAGTGCATCTTTCAATAAATAGACAGAAATTGCGTAATTCAAAAATTCCTCTGCAGTCAAGAGTTCACAGTATTTCGGCACTGATTTACACAACACCATCACTTGGCAGCGCACTGGTTCAGTCATCATCTGTAATATCACAAGTTGGTGGTTCATGGTCCGCTAATGATGACACCATATTAATTCACAACAACAGGGCCATCTCCCTGTCCTTGATGGGCAGCATCATCACAGTCTTTCTTCTCTCCATTTACTGGTGAATCCTCAAATTGATCAGGAGAACCATCTATCTTTTTGATTAGGTCAGCAATGGGAATGGCAGTTCTCCTGATGGATCAGAAATCTTAATTAATGTCTGATTCTAAATTCACAAAAATAACAAAAGAAAACATGAAAATTTGTCATACCCAGAAGCGTCTTCAGAATCTACTGTCATTCCTCTACCCTTTCCTGTCCTCTTATCATTATTAAGAATGCGTTTAGTCCCACTGGGTGGAGCCACACTCTTCTTTTTGGCAACCTTTGAGTTCAACAAGTTTGCATTAGTTGTCACTCAACAATAAACATGAAAAATGATGAATTAGCAATTAATAAATGTCTCACCTGACTTTTTTTACTGCGGGTCACGGCCTTTGATCCAGGACCTCTTGTCTGGAATAATGGTCTCTGTATGTTTCTAGAGCCATTAAATTCAATCATAGGCATTCTAAAATTTCTCATGCCTCCTGGTACCATCTAAAAAATACAACATTAGTAGCAAATTCTAACCAGAAACAACGAGTAAAGATTACCAAGAGATAACAAACCTGTGGCACAGGTCTCATGCCTGGGTGATATGAACCTAATTGAGGAACAGGGTGAGATGAGCGAGATCCATAATTAGCACCCCAGCTGCTAACAACAAGGCCAGCCACTTCTAATTGACCACCTCCAGGAGGAACAGCCCTTCGTAGGAGACCACCCCGGCCAGCCCCACGTCCTAAAGGACCATTGCCTGGTGCACCCATCATACCTCCAGGCATCATATTTGGCATTCGCAAGGCTCCTGCAGAGACAGAAATGATGAATAAAATTCAAAGCTTCACTTTTTAAAAGGGAAACTTAACAAGATCGTTTAATATTTACCAGCCGCGCTTGCAAGTGTTGGAATTGGATTCCTGGCAAATTGAACGTCTAGTCCTTCTAAAACCGCTTGACGCATTCGCTCAACTTTAACAGCTTGATCCAAACGATGACCACAAAGTTCTCGTAAATTCTTGCAGGCACCAGCACGGGCAAGAGTGTGTTGCAATAGTTTTCCATCAATGTACAACCATGGACAACACATTAGCCAAGGTACTGGGGCACCGCAGGCATCATTGACCAGTAAAGCAGTTTCAATTCCTGCGAGTATAAGCGTGGCTAACTGCACTCCTCTGCTTGTAACCATGGGTAGCTGTAAGGAAAAACGTTTGTAAGTTTCCAACAAATATTGGTGAAAAGAATTAATTCTAGAAACAAAACAGATGGATAAAACATATATTTGGCACCTGTAACTCTTCAAGATATTGGATATCCATTAATTCTGGAGAAACAGCCTGAGTTATGATGGCATCTAATTCATGCTTCCGCAATACTTTCTCTGGGGAGGACATAATGTACCTATACAGAAAAAGGCCATCAAATAGTGAGCTACAAAAACACAATAACACAACCAGGAACAGGTGAAGTAAAAATGTAAATACCTAAGAACACAAGCTAGGACTAGAAGGTGTTGTGGTACGTATGAGGTATTAAGAATAAGTGGATTGTCTGATCTCATGCATGTCAAAAATGCTCGCAGACGGCGGCGTTTGTCATCAATAGTGGACCTGATAAAGGAAAACAAAAGGATAAAAATTATTAACAAATCATGGAGGAGAGGATTATAACTGCAAAACAAGTTACTTACCCAAACCAGAGTCTTTGAATCGTTGGTACTGCCCATCCTATTTCCTCTGCTCGAACAACATCTGCAGATTGATATTGATTACTTTTGGACCACAGCCACTCTTTAATAATCAAGTCAGGCACTTCAGTCTTTTCTGTTGAGTCTAGAAAAAACAATCAATCAATTTTAATAAAGAAACAAAAAAGGAAAAAAAACTCAATGAAAGAAAAAAAAAAATAAGAATGTGAAAACAAAACAAACCCTTTTCTTTTTTAGATTTGTTAGCAAGATACTTGTGATGATGCAAATTAAAAAGAATAGCATACACCATTCGTCTCACTGGTCGATAAAAAAGGTGAATACTTGGCAGCTCTTTGTTCATTTCATCCTCCATCAGCATTGGAAGCATGATTTCTCCATGACTAAGAATCTACAGTGTAAAATTCAATTTAAGATATATTAGAGAAGCCATAAGGACTCACACTAATCAAAGTTACATTTTTAAAAATCTTGAGAATAACCACTTAAACCAAGTTTACAAAACACATCATGGGAAACAAACCTGGCAGATAAAAGGGGACATGAGACCCTTCTGGTGCCTTTCACTGGCAGTGCGCATGACTTCTGGCGGCACTGGGGGAAGAGGAGGAACCTTGAGATCTTGACTTGTTGAGGTGCCTGAACTTAATCCTAGACTTGAAGCACCAGATGATTGGGGACTGTCATTTGAAGATGGCCGCTGATTTAAACCATTCACAGCCCCATCCTCCACATTCTCTTTTTCTTCATGATCTTCAGATATTCCGTTTTCTTTAGTTTGATTGGAAGAATCACCATTGATTTCTTGTGACAAGTTGAGAGAAGCAGTTGCCTCATTGTAAGCAGCCAAACTCTCCTGCTCACTCTCTACTGTCTCTGATGCAAACTTGGAGGTATCCATATCACAACTCACACCATTCTCACTGACTCCATTAGTTTCCACTTTAACTGTATTGGTGTCAATAATTTTAGACTTATTAAGATCGGAAATATGGGCTGAAAAAACAATAAAAAATAAAGCCATAGGATTGCTCAAGTTTTACTTGTAATGAATGGTATTAAAAAACATGGTACAAAAATTCAAGATTTACCTGATGGAGGCCTGTAGTTCAGAAAGCCTTCTTTAGTTCCATTCATATAATACTGTACACTCTGCTTTAATTTGGCACTTCGCTTGTCACCTGCTGCACCAAATACTTGAGAAGCAACACAATCAAGGTTGTCACTTGAATCTAAAGTCTTGATAAAGGAGGCAACTGACTTTACTAAGGCATCAGGCTTTAAATTTGAGGGATCAAGTCCTAGACGCCCGTAAAAATCAGCTAGATCTTGTTCAGTCAGTACATAGTTGCCAAGTAAAGCTGCTAGAAGACAGAACCTTTCTCTTGGCAGATCTAAGGATTTTGCTAATTGACTGAGCTGATACTCTTTAGTCTCCACCATACCCTGTAAGAGAATAAAGATTAGATTAAAAAGGTCTGGGTACAAAATAATAACACACAACTACATAAATGTTATTGACATACCTTGTAGGTTAATTTTAAATTAGAAGCAGAGAAGTACCGTGGAGGATCAAAAACAGCATACTCTGCATCATCTGCAACTAGGCCGTGAAGGGAATTTTCTCTGAGGTATGCAATAGTTTCCTGCCTGTGGTCATCCATTGATGTGACTGTTGTCAGTCCAAGATGCCGCATGGCCATACGCAATGCTGTGCGTAGGCCAGTTGGTGGCACCCACCATACTTTAGGAGGAGGAGTGCCTTTGGAGTTTATGTGTTTAAAAACCTAATAGTAAAGTCACAAACAAATTAATTAAATTTGTCTCAATATTGTGTCTGTACATGCATGTATTAACAGAAACAATGAAAAAACTTACCAAGTTGATATTTTCACGAGCTTTGAGTTGAGTTGCTACCCATTCACGCATACGTTCAGACTCTAGACTTCCATTGAAAAAGAATATCAAGTCAATTTTCCCAGTCTGCACTGTATCAATGAGAACTGACAGAAACTGAACCATCCTTTTCCACTCTCCCCCACTAACCCAATCTATGGGCAAAAGAAAAAAATAAACCTGAGTAACACAATTTGAAGCCTACCAAAATAAGATACATATGCTAAGATCACAATTTAAAGGACAAACCTGAGAAAAATCCTCCATAGAGTCTATCAATACAACATTCAGCATCAACAACTAAGCTGAATAAGTGTGGTCCTCCTAAAAGAGATTCTTTCTGTTTCTTTTGCTTCCCGTTCTGTTTTGACACGACACTTCGTGCTACTTTCAGTAGCTCAACATTAACAGTACCACCCGTTACACTTGGGCTTTCAAGAAAAGTTTGCAGGTCTTGAACACCCATTTTGCTGGGTTAAGAATTAGATGGTAACTAAAATCACTGACTTCTTTAATGTAAGAAAGCCAATATCACAGAAAAAAATGCACTTTGATCACGCCTTAAATCTGAAACCAACCAAAGAAAACCAAAATTATGTAGATGTGGGAACAGTTCCACTGTATACATTTTGATGATGACAATGTTCAGTGACACACATGAAAATCAGACATTTAGATATAAGTTTGAAGTGAAGTGTAAGAGACAGGTAATAGGGAAAATGGAATGCAATTGAAGATGGTAATTGCCCTATTTTAGATTCCGCTTTCAACGCTGCAATTAACCTCTCCCCCACGATAGAACACACCCCCGGGGCGACATGCAAAAAAAGGTGACTCAGAAAATGTCTACACAAAATACGGGTGACAATTCCACAGTGAAGTAGGAAAAAGAAAATAAATCCTAGACAAAGGCGTTAAATTGCAACAAAACGGAACCAAATGACAAAAAATAATAAGTTACAATCGTCAAGGTTGTGGTAGGGTAGTGCCCCTCAAGCCTATAGTCTCACCTACTTCAAATAGAATTTAGGTATAATATCCAAAGACCACTTTCAGTACGGTTTTGGCCGACAATGCTGACGAAATGGCCCCAGACATACCAAAAATCAAGTGAGTCAAGTGTTCAGAAATCGAAATTGACACTCATTACAGACGAGAAGCACTGAGAAAACCGGCATGGGCCGTAGCAATACAAGGATCCGGCATCTAGTTTATGTTTCATGTGGGTGTTAAATGTGTGACTGTTTCCGTCTGAGGGTACAGGGTGAAGAAGAATACAATAACAATCTTCTGGGACAGTTGTAAACAAAATACAAGGTCAACAATGTGTACATACGCGTAATAATAGAAGATTTCCATTATGCGGACACCTCCATTTTCTAACGTGGGGAGGAGATTTGATGCCAATGACGTCAAAACCGGATTCGGAAAGGTTCGCTAGAAGTAAAAGCAGGTAAGCCACTTCTCCGTTTCAAACAATCCATGCAAGAAGCACATGATTTTTTTCCTTCATGACGTGGCTACAATATGCTGAAAAACCAACACAACTTTTAAATTATTGATTCAAATTTCAATAATTATTAATGGGCGCACAATTATACCAGGCTAAGTCAAAACCCGCATGTTTGGAGTTGTTCAAAGGTTGCCTTACATGCATATCCGGATTGTATCGATAGCGGGAGAGGAGTGGGACATATAAATGGGAAACCATTGAGTAGACCGACTTTGATATTTATGCCACTCACAAGACCTTAAACAAACTAATCCAATCCATATTATGAGCTTCTGAGGATGAATCAGCGTTAACTTGGAGAGAATGGCCCTTAAATTTGATGTGTTCACCAACAAATACTCGTTGGGTGTATCGTTACCCTCAATCACTGAATAACCTGTCTACATCACGAGGTGATCTGATGACGTTGTAAAGGAAAGAATGCTGGAAATATTATGCTGACATTTTATAACTAGAACGAATTTTTTAATGTAGAGATTTGCTTGTATACCCTCAGATAGCTGAGTAAACCTGTAAAATAATACACTTCAAAGTGTACAGTGCCGCAAAAGCGTCGGCATATTTTCGACTTGTGCGCCTTTCTTTTTCTCTCTGGTTGAAATCAAGAACAAATCATTATCATTTGGATGGCTGACAAGTAACCTATTTCCATTATTCCCCCGGGAAGACCTTTAAGTAACGAGCATGCTATATAAAATTTGGGTCCTGGCCGTCTTGGTTCTGTGATGGAGTCACGGCTGCTTGACGCCTTTGAAATGAGGCGGAAGTGCGCTTTGGGTTGGAGACTGTAAAAGTAGTCCGTGGATGTGAACCTTGAGTGTGTCCGAATTGAGCCACGGATCGAGCACAGACCGATCCGTGGTCGAGCGGTCGGTCGGTTGCCGGGCCGTGGCGAGCCGCTCCACACCCCAGCCGCATTATCCGATCCGCAGAGAGGCACTATTCATATTCGTCTGTAGTCTGTCGTCTGCTCTGTTTTGACGACTGCAGCTAGGATCATCCTGATCAACTATCAAAAATGGAACGCCCACAGTTGCCGGCGATATTTTTACCACTGTTACAGTTGTACATAAGGAGACGAAATGAACTCAATCAAAGAAATAGATTAATTTTCTTGTATCTGATGCGACAACGATTGGTGGCTAGACGTGGACATGCGCCCGTAGGTTATGTCATTATGTTGTTTTTTTCAAAGTGGCTAAATGATTTTGGTTTTTAATATTCTGTATTATTTATTAAATAGAGGGGACCATACTGCAATCCGATCTTGAATAGGAGGATGTCCAGATTGATAAATCTGGACCCAGATCAAGTAAAAAAAGACCTGAGGGTTACACGGGAATCGCTGCAAGCTTTAATTACCCAAGTAGTTGCCCAAAGACACCCACCCAAATTGAGGGGTTACGCCCTTCACTTTGCAGTGAGTTCATGTGATGATTGTTTCTCCTTGACATTTAGTAGTGAAACATTAAGATGTAAATTTAATTGATTTCTTTGGCTTAGGTAATAATAACCCTTTACTGGATGGCGGCTGGAATGTCGTATCGTGTATGTGGCAACACATTTGACATTGCAAGGAGTTCTGCCTGTGACTTGGTATCCGATATTCTAAATGTCATCCTTCGCCTGGCTAGGGATGTAATTAAATGCCCTAGTGCTGAAGAGGTTGAAGTCATAGGGCAAAACTTTGGACGCATGGCAGGATCTCCAGTATTTTTGCAATGTGCTGGAGCAATTGATGTCTGCCAGCTTAGAACTCTGTGTGAACCAGAGCGACATGACGAATATATTAATCAGAAGCTTTTCTACTCCATTGCTATGGAAGCATTAGTAGACCATACTGCCAAGTTTCTACACATTTGTGTTGGATTTCCTGGGTCATGTCACGATCTTCGCATACTAAGACATAGTGGATTATATCGGAATAGAAATTACCCTCCAGAAGAGTTTTTTATTATAGGGGATGGAGGCTACATGAGTTTGAGGCAACCAATTGCCCTAGTTACCCCATATAGAGATGTTAATCTTACAGCAGACCAGCGAAGTTTTAATTATCATCTCTCCAAGATAAGAGCAACAGTAGAGAGAGCATTTGGATTGATGCAAGCCAGATGGAGGGCTCTATTTCACAGGGCAATTGAGATAAAACTTCGTAAAGCTGTCAAGCTCATCACTGCTTGTGCAATTTTGCACAATATATGCCTGGATGCAGGTGATATAATAAACTACAATCCTGTACAAATCAGAAGGCCACAGCAACCCCCAGTGCAGGAAATGGGTGGAGGACCTCTCAGAGATCTGCTGTGCAGGTTGCACAACATGGCCAGGAGGCAAGCAGAAGAAGAGGACAACTAATTGTAGATATATGACAAAAAAATAAATTATTATTCTGGCACCAGCAGTACATATCAGTCATTTTAGTATATAAATGTAACAAAAAAATATATAGAAAACTACATAACAAAAGGTAACGAAACTTAAATTGTTCCTACACTCATTTTGTATCTCAATGAGCATTATTGTTATAGTCACAAATTAGAAAAAAAAAAGCAGAAGTAACGAACTACTTGGAAAAGTTCTTCAACAAGTCAAGGAGCTGATTGTGCTCATTTTGTCTCTGTTCCTCACTGTTGACCATGAAGTTTTGGAACCAAGATTCAAATCCGTCTTCCTTCTTCTTAGCTTCTTTGGCCTTTGTTTTCTTCTCTGACTTATTGAAAAACTCTTTACAGGTGACAGGCACTGAGCCTGCTGCATTAGAAGTTGAAGGTTGCGGAACAGGAACAGAGGGATTACCAGAGTTTGAAGGAATGGGTACTTTAGGGAGGGAAGGTGCAGCTGAAGATAAATTTTGGACTGGTCTTAGAATAAGTACTTTGGTTGAGTTCTCATTGACAACAGACGCAAGTGGGAGGCCAGGGTTGGGAGATGTGATGGGAATGGATGGAGCAATGGAGGTCTCACTTTCAGTCTGATTTGGAGCCACTGGTTGAGCATCAGTTTCAGAAGTAGAGGTCTCACTCACAGTTTGATTTGGATCAAGCAGGAAATATGATTTGCTTGTAGCAGCATTTGGATCCGCTGGAGCAGCTGCTGCAGAGGTGTCCGCTATGGTGTCTGGATGTAGGGTATGCTTCCCTGTATGAAATTCGTCGAACAACTCAAACAGTTCCCAGGAAGCTGGTGTCTCCTTGTTTCCATCTTCTGTGCCCTGCCCCGTGGTAAATTTGGATGGTTCCTTCATCTTCTGCAAAGAACGATGAAGTAATCAGTAACATGATTCGAGAAAAGTTCTTAGCACAGATAGAAAGAGATGACTCTTTTAAATCCATACCTTGTACAGAGCGACCTGAGTGCCCCACTTCTTTTTAAACTTATCCCTGCTCGTCCTTGTAATTCCTCTTTTGGCCAGAGTCTCTATGACTTTGCTGCAACGTAAAAGGATGATAAACAAAAATGTGCTTGATAATTCGCTAGTATTGCGAAATAAATTAGAAATGCTTACTTCCAACCCTTTTTGGAATTGCCATTGCCGCCCGTGAACATGTAGTTGTATTTTATTCTTGTCTCGCAAAGCGCACGAGTCTCGTCGTCATCCCCTACAATGCACATTATTTATAGTTCAGACTGATCACAAATACAGGCGTAGACCTTTACAGAAATTTGTACTTACACGCTTCCACAACGCCGCTAGCCATCTCGCAAACTGGAGTGCAGATACACCGTCAAACTAGTTTTTTAGACACGACCACTTCACAGCTACGATTGGGTTGATTTGACACTTTGACTAAACAACATGCGAGCCGAACGAAAGGATCCCCCCGCCCCGATGCTCAGATGTCTAATTCGAATCGTGGTGAACCCAATGTGAATATGGTGTCCAGGCTAAGCCTGGCTGCTTGGAGCGGCTCGCCACGGCCCGGCAACCGACCGACCGCTCGACCACGGATCGGTCTGTGCTCGATCCGTGGCTCAATTCGGACACACTCCTTGTTTTTAAATTCCGCCATCTTTAGTTGCCATCTTTGGTTATAGTCTTTCGTGGGAATTTCGTTGTGCGTTAAGACAAAGGTAATCATCTCTATTTAGTGGTGTATTTTGATCAAAAAGTTGATTTAGATCTTCGATGGAGTGAATATTTGTTAACGGAGATGAAAATACCTGATCGAATCACTTGAAAGGACGTAAAAATGGTAGTGTTTACATTAGTGTTAGGAGACAACGAATGCTTTGCTGTCAGTTTCAAGTAAGTAAACGTCCCGACGAGAACTTTTGGCATTAAAATGAATCGCAAGGCTTTCTGCACTTTGTTTTTTGATCATTTAGTCTGTAGGTTGCGTTTCAGTTGAGTCCAAAGCTACGAAGGCCCAAGCTCGAACCGAGTGGGTCTCAACCTCTAAACAGTTTGGCGTTGTTTATTTATTTATCTTTCTACTGTTCAGTTCAATTTCAACTTTCGAAGGTTCTCATTGAACATTTTGGCCATAGACGTAGTTTAATCCTTTCTAGCCGTATCCCTTTATTGTTTGTAACCGGGCCTAAACATCAAGCTCCTCTGCAGAGATGTGATACATTCTTCAAAAACGCACACAAATCGTTTTCAGTAGTCGTTCTGCCAACGTTTTCCTTGGTTTATTTGCTGTAGGCCACAACATGAAACTGAAAAGTGCCTGAAGACTCGTCTTCTAAACCCTTTCAATGGCTTCTAGGTTAGGCTTTGAATGGTTGTTGCCATCCTTATTCCTGCAGTGAAGTTGTCAGTTTCATCATGGTGTCACTCTGCACTCCAATTCATTCTAACCCACTCAAGGAAGATTTTAAATACTGTAGGCACAGATCATGTAAAATTTAGGTTAGGGCTTGTTAGCTTTTGCATAGTAGTATTGCCTTATGTCAGGGACTTCATTGCTTAGAACAACTTGTGTGGTGTTGCCTCAGCATCTCTTTTTGGCTTTATTTTTCTCCTTAACCATATTTGTAACTGATTCATTTGATTTGGTTGTGATCCGCTGCTTGGTGATGCATTCTAATGAATAGCTCGAGCCTGATTTACATTTTAAGAAAGTTATTTGAATTATGGTCAAATTTTATAGAAAACTGAGAGCGGTCAGAAGTTTATTTGAGTAATACTTTAGACCAGAGTTTCTTTTCATAGACCCCCCAGTGGTATAAAAATCTAATCCATTTTTCCGTAAGAAATTATTGATTCACATGTTTCAATGTCTTATTTTCTTAATTATCAGAGTTTAAATGCAGTTTTGTGTTGTTTTTGTTTTTTGGTGTGTGTAGTCATTTTGTAGTTTAGTATTTCGATGTTTTTAAATCTTGAGTAATGTTAAAACTGGAGTAAAAATAAATTCTTGTTTGAAAACGACCAATGTATGTGGTCGTTGATTTGCAACTTTCTGTGGACTTTGTATTTAATTGTAAGTTACAAACACATTTATTTCTTGTTGAAAGACTTCATTCATTTTGTCCTGGTCATTTTATGTTCAATGCATATTAAATTTTGCAAGTTAAGTTTCGAGTGACCTACCAGAAATTTAAAGCTCTCAAGTTATTTTTGTGAGTTTTATGCACCATGTCTTTCTTCCTTTTTTCCAATACTTGTATAGATTCTCCTTTCGAATTTTTGTGTTTGGACTTACTAAATATTATTTTTACTGCCAAATATGAGAAGCATATGTGCATCAAGATTTAAACTACTTGTCTGTTTCACATTATGATATCTGCTTTTGTGGCTTTTAATTCCTTGAACCATTAAGTTTTATTAGTTTAAAAACAGGAGATTGTTGCGATATCTCAAGTAGCTTAGTATTAATTTCATTGGTTTGAATAGTAGTCGTAGACCAAATAAATGTACTTTCGATAACTGGTAATATCTGCCAATATATTTTCACACCCTTTATTTTTGATAGCACGTTGACATGCCCCTTGTTCTTTGTACTGTGCTTTATTTCTGCCAATATGTTGCCAATTTTTTTTTGTTAACTTTCTTTTCTTGTTGAACTAAAAACACGGTGAGCACCAGCCCCCGTTATTGGCAGCCAGGGGCTTTCACTACTTCACTTATTGCCAGGGCTGCTACGAGTGGAGTTCTTCCCTCCTCGACTTCTTGAGCGCGGCGGCGGCAATCGATCTCCACTGCTCCTCCTCCACCACCACCGCCATCATCGTCTTGGTCGCACGTCGTCAGCTTCAAATGCCATGTCGTCCCTCTCTCTCCCCTTCTCTCCCCGCTGCCGTTTCCTCGTCGCCTAGCCTCTGTGCTGGTGCCTTCCCTCCACACCCCTTTCCCTTCCCTGCCTTGCCTTCCGTTCTGCCTGGGCTGAGGCGAGGCTTGAGGGGGCGTTGCGGCCCCACCACCACGACGGGGAAGGGGGGTGGCTGCGTCCGGGGTGGCCGTGTGTGTGTGTGTGTGTCGCTGGGAGTGAGAGGGAGCCAGTGCGGGGCACAACACGGCTCGGACGCGGCCCGCGGCCCGGCGGGCTTGGGCCCCTCGCCGCCCGCCCGTACACCGCGCGGCGCAGCATATCGAGTATTGCGCCGCGCTCACAAACAAAATGGCGGCCGTGGCGGGGGCGCCCAAAGCGAACAGTGGCGGGCGGCGCGGCTCACGTGTGGTGGGGTATCCTTCCGCCTGGCGTGTGCCGCCGCGGTGGGCCAGGCCGCGGGGCGGCGGATCGGGCCTGCTCTTTGCGCGGCTCGCCACGGCCCGGCCCCGCGCTAACCTCACTTTCCTGCCCCGGCTCTAATGGAGCGTTGATTCGGTCTGAAGGTCAGCCGTCTCTCTCTCTCGCTTGCCACAATTATGCGTTTGTGGGCTTTGTTGCGGCTTGTGGCCGTGTGCTCGCCCGATGGGGCCCCGTACGGGGCCCAGCGCTGCGCGGAGCCCCCGCACCCCCCATTCCCCCCTCCGGCCCGGGTATGGGTGGCGCTAAAGAGGATTGGGGTCAGAGAGCCCCCCCGGCTCGTTCGGGGGCTGGGGAGGCGATGGTGCTCCAGCGACAGATACAAGCCTGGTCCCGACCCGCCCGCCCCTCTCTTGCCGATTCCTCCTCTACCTTTGAAAGGTCGTCGTCGGCTCGGTTCTGCCCTGCTTGTTGGGTGCGCGGGGGGCCCGACCGAGTGCGCATGCGCGCGCTCATTGATTCGATGGCCCGGCCGGGCTGGCTCTGACGTCATTGCCGTGCCAACGCCAAGGGATGCTGGGTGCTGGGCTTGTTGTCGGGGCTGAAGCAGGGCGAAGACTTCCAGAACACGCCACCTCCTGGCCCCCGGCCCCGCCCCGTCCGCACGCCAGCACGACCGTCCGGTTGACGTTGGCCGACGCAATGAGACGAGGCTGTCATTTGCCGTTCAATTGGTCCTGCAGTTTTGGACCCGTTCCAGGACATGCACCGCGCCCCGAGGCCGTGGCGGGGTGGGGTGGGGCGGGCGGGAGTGGCAGCCTGGGCCCGCGGCCCTACCCCAACCCTCCCTGCCCAGGACTCGCAACCCCGACCAGCCTGGACCGGCTCTGGGGGTTGCGGCCCGTATGCAAATGTGCCATTTGCCTTTGTGAATGGTGGCTGCACTCATGTGGCCCGCGCACCTGGGGAGTCCACAAGTTCCCCCCTGCGCGACAAGGCACGGGCACGGCGCGGCCGGTCAAGGAACGCCGCCGCCGGATGCACTTGCGATTGCACGGCCAGACTTTCCTGCTCTTCTGGTCGCGTAACTTTTGCGACAACGCGCTGGGGGAGGCGGCCAAACCGGTGCCAACTCCACGCACGATACGGCCTGCCAGGCCAGGTCGAGGGATCCTGGCGCTGGTGGTCCCCCCTCCCACCCGGGTGTCGTGCCCCGGGTCCTCGGCCCGGCGGCCTTCAGCTTCTCGCGGCGTAGAGCACGTTTTCTCTTGACGTGTGTGACGGCCGTGCTATCTGCGGCGTTGAGGCAGGTCGTGTGCTGGCGGCTTTGGCCAGACGGAGTGAGGCGAGACAAGGTGATAATTAAAGACTGCGCCAAACTAAATCGCTGCACCGGCGGCTGCAGGCCAGGGCCTAGCTGCTGCTGCTCCTGCCGGCTTGTGCCTTCCCTGCCGGCAGCGCGAGCGCGCGCGCGTCGCGGCGCTGTTGCCAAGCGTCTAGTTCGAGAGCGAGAGCCCGGCCAGCGCGGCTCGGCCCGGCCCGCATAGAGGGAGAGAGGGAGGAAAGGGTACTGGCACTGGCCGGCGGAAAGGGGGTGAGGGGGACAGAGAGAGGATGAAGCCTCCTTCCCCTGTCTGCTGTTTGGGCGACAGGACGACACGGCCGGCGCTGACCTCCCGGGCCACCCTGCGGGGCGTTACGTCACACAACGCTTGGAGTCCTGTCGTTTGCAACGTTGCATAGGGAATTCCTTTTCCCGCCTTCGTGTGCACCGCCTCATCCCCCCCTCTCCCTTGTCCGTCCCGTGGCCACACTTGCCATGTAAATTCATGAGAGTATTTTTATTTATTTATTTCACTTTTCGTTTCGGCTGCTTCGGCCCGCCCCGTGAGCGCGACCAGCTCGGGCCCAGCTCCACCTCGGGCGCGTTGGGCCCGTGCGGTGTGGACTGGGGGGCGGCGCGGGGCGCATTGACGACGAAGTAGGACACCGGCGAGCCAGGACGCTGACCCCGAGCAGAGCCGGAGGGGGGGAGGTGCTCCTCCCGCGACTCACTGGCGCAGCCCCCCACCCCCTTCTGCACTGTTTGCAGCTGGCTGACGCGGCTGCAGCTGCAGCTGCCCCTCCCCTCGCCTGGCGGTCGTGCCCCACCAGGCCGCGCGCGGCATCCGCGGCGTGCTGGCTCGCGGAACGGGCTTGGTGCGGCGCTGCACGGCGCAGCACCCTGACCTAGCTCAACGTCAACGTGCGGAGCACGACGGGACTGGCGTGACGGCCGTGGAGCGGCTAGAGCAGCCTAGCGGGCCTCCGGCCTGGGCCTCCCGGGGAGGGCAGGATTACTCATGCAGACCGCCAAGGCGAAGGAATAAAATTTAAAGCTCAATCATGATGGGTGTCGCGTGGTGTGACGGCGGTTGGGGAGGGCACCGAGCGAGCGGGCACGGTCAGACGAGATCGCATGAATGATGAAGAGATGGGCCTACACATGTCAAGTTGCCTTCCTTCCAGTCGCACTTCTTTACGAACGAGCCGGACATGCCTGAACACAACACTGCCCATCATGGCCACTGGAAGCAGGATGAAGCTAGAGGAGCGAACTTAGAAACCATCTCCAGTGCATTCGCACAGTTTTCTTGTTTTATTCAATTAGGTGACAGCGAGCAGTTTCTATTAGATGTCGTTCAACTAGCTACCTCTCGCCTTCCGTACCGTGTACTAATGTGGGGGTGTGCACTCTGTTCCAGGTCGTTGCAATGTGATTGCCAATGGTTCTCCTTGAGGGAGGGTTTGGGAGTACAACGTTAGTGCTGTGCGCGGACAGCGCTTGAAGGCCTGGCCTGGCCCAGACGAAGTAGTGACAGGCCGCCAAGACGTCGGTGCCATCAGTGATCAAGCTCGGGGGCGCGGGCCCGGGCCCCACAGGCCCCTCTGGGGGGGGAAGCTCGCCCCGCACGGCCCCCCTGCCCCCAGGCCCACCCCATAGGGTGCTGCGCGCGCCTTTCAACATACAATGGTATGTCATTTACCCAGTTACAAAAAAAAAAATGTTTGTCAGATCTTTACCACATCTTTAACAAAATATTACATTTGAAATGATTTTGTTTGATTCAGTGGAGCTGGAGCAGTCAACAGCCTTATGGTAGGACAGGCAACATCAGCAACCATTATCCAGTCTCCTGGTGGGACTGTACGGCGTGGCAATGTTGGTTCACAATCTGATGAAGGGATGAGTCTCATAGTCCAATTGGGCACCACTGTTGTGTCCAAGCCTGGATCTAATATGACCAGTGCCTCAGGTTTGTGTTTGGCTGTGCTATACCACTTTCAAATCAGGAAAGTATATGTGAAGCAGGTATTTAATATTCCTTTTTCATTTGTTTGCAGGTTCTGGTGGACGCAACGTTTCATATAGAGATAGTAGGATTGCTGCTCAATCCGCAACGCTGGGAGCAATCACATCTAATGCTTCAAATGTTGGAACAATGTCAGGTCAACACCGCACACTTGTGACGGCTGTTGGGCATTCAGGAACAGTCAGAACTGTTCCAGCCGTGAATGCTAATGTTGCTGGTGGAGCTTTCAAAATTCATTCCCAGCATCACAGAGTGATTACTAGCACTCAGCATGCTCAAGTGTCAGTTGTTCAGAAGAGCCAGAGCTCAGCGACTATACAAAAGCCATCACCATTTATGGAGCTTCAGACAAGAAAAGTTATTGTTCCAGCAACAGCAAATACTAAACTGAGGTATTGTCTCTTTCCATTGCTTTTATACCATGTGAAGTTTTTGTTTCCTCTTTTATTGAATTTTAATTATTTTGTTCTTAGTTCTGAGCTTATGAAGGAAGCTCCACTGGAAAAGTTACAATCACCTGCAAATGAAGAGAAAAAGTCACTTCAATCGCAGATACCTCTTATGTACCAGGTAAAGCCTTCTGTTGTTTTTTAATCTATATTCTTTATGCCAAATTGTTATTAAACTGGAGACTAATCTATCTATCCTCTGCAGTATGTTTTGCAGGAGCACAACTACGTGGCTCTTCCTCCTGCATCGCCCCCTTTGTCACCTGCTCATCACCACACTGCAGGACCAAAAGTTAATGGGGCCCCCTCAAGTGCCAGTCCATCTTCTCTGAATAGTGAACCCACCATTCAGCACCATCCATTACACCATGCTCAGCTCACCCCTCACACCCAGCAAAGTAGGTTACCAAGTTTCTTTATGAAACAGATTTTCTATTTTGGTGGGCTTGTTTTCCTAATCTAATCTAATCTATTCTATCCAGATCCAAGCCTCCTTGCATCACGGCAATCTGTGCATAGCCTCCATAGTCCTCATGGTGGGCCACAGGCAACTCACCCTACCCGGCCAACGAATCTTAATCTTGATGATGCGGGAAGTGATATCAGCAGTGATGCAGGTAGAGAGATAGAACCTGAGGGCGAGGAAACTGAAACTGCTCCTGAAGCCGAAGGGGAAGATGACAGTGTAACTCGGTGTATCTGGTAAGTATCCCTTTTTTTTATTAAAAAGGTTTATCTGGTCAAATGGGTTTTATTATTCAGGTTAGAACAAACTTAACTTGAATTCTCATTCCAACATTTTTTTTTCAGCGATTTTGAACATGATGATGGATACATGATTTGTTGTGACAAGTGCTCGTAAGTCAAAAACCTCATATTATTTACTGAAGTTATTTTTTTTTTTTCGTCAAAGGCGCAGCTTACTGAGTAATTTTGTTTGCCTGTTCATTTGAATTTAGGGTTTGGCAACATGTTGACTGTATGGGAATTGACCGAATGAATATTCCTGATGAGTACATGTGTGAAAGATGTCAACCAAGGCGCGTAGATAAGATGCGTGCACGAAATATTCAGTGCCGCAAAAGAGAAGAATTTTTCCATAATGATACCTCTAGTGACTCCTCTACTTCATCAACTGATTCAGAGCCTCTAAGTAAGTTAACGTTTTTTTGTTTGTTTTAAATATGACGTATCAACTTCATAATTTCTTGTCGCTTATTTTATTTTCTTGTAATTGAATCTTACAGCTATAGTTGCTCCTGGAGTTGTAAAGAAGAGAGGTGGACCAGGTGGACTAGGTGGACCAGGGCCAGGTCCAGGCCCAGGATCTGGACCTGCTGGTAGAAGAAAAAATGAAACTATGAGAAAACAACCTGTGGGGAACCCTGGTTATCGTCAAAGAAGAGATTCAGGTAGAGATATGGTGCCATCCCTAGCCACCCCTAATCCAAGAAGGCAGCCGACTCCTCGTAAAAAGTCTACAGAGAACAAAAGAGCTCCTCGTCGGAGAAAGGTAATTTAAGTTCACTGGATTATTTCTTTCCCCTTAAACTCCCCTATTAGCTTCTTAACTTGGTTGTTTCAATTTCAGCAGAGTAAGTGTGGAGATGAAGATAAGAGCCCAGACACATGGGAAAAGTCTCCACCAATTCAATCACTTCGCCAGTGGATTGATAATTATGAAGAAGCAGTTACAAACCATTACTCACCCGAGTTGCGAGCACGCATTCAAAGCATTAGGGTGAATGGAGTTCATTCAGAACTGAAAGTACCCTCTCACCTTCTCTCAGGCTCTTCTGGTGTAGCCAAATGTAGATTAACAATGCTCCCTAATGGGACAAAGATACTGGTTACAACATGTACTCTAACTGCTAATCAACCAATTATTGAACTGCGGGGCAAGTACATGCTCTCACAACAGCATCGAGCACTCAGTTCCAGAAATACTCCACTTCCTGGTCCTTTCTTGTTTTTCCACCGTCTGCCGCTGCCTGCTCTTCGTGAAGCCACTGAAGTGTGTGTTGATTGCCGTACTTATGGTAATGATGCTCGATTTGTGAGAAGATCATGTAAACCAAACAGTGAGGTGAGTAACTTGTTTTTCTGTTGACCACTACTCTTTATAAGATATGAAGTTTACATTTATTTTTTCTCTTGTAACAGGTCCGACATTGTGTGGAAAAGGGTACTCTCCACCTGTTCTTGGTGACGATATGTACCTTAGAAAAGAATTCTGAAATCACTATTCGCCATCAAGAGGGGGCCAATCTTCCTTGCTGTTGTGGGAATCCAAAAGAATGTTCAGCTCAATCACAAATTGCTGCTCAAAATAGTTCTAACCTCACCCGTAAAAATGGCACCCCTGAAGAGTGAGTAAAACTTTCAATTCTTAAACTTCTAGTCCTTAATGTTTGCAAAACATTCTTTACAAGACCATTACAATTTTCCAGATCAACAAGGCGCCGGAGGGGAAGGAGACGAACTGTTTCTTCAAGCTTTTGCAGAGATTTACCAAGCCCAACTGGACGAACACCTACAAGTCCGGTTGATGCTTTATCTCCGGTACCAATGCCAACACCTGTAGCACCAGCTCCCATTGGGTCACCCCCTCATTCTCCTGTTCCTGAAAAGAAAAGGCGTCTCTCTCCACCTTGTTCACCTGTACCCCTTAAAGTAAAAGAAGAAACAAGTGTGAAAGAGGAAGTAAAAGTTGAACCCAGTGATGATGAAGTGAGCAGTTCTGAAAAAGATAAACCTGAAAAGTTTGAAAGTAAACCTCTTAAAGTTGAGAAAGTTGAAAGCTCACCATCTCCGCCTCCCACTCCTCCTACAACTCGCAACACAATGGCCAGGAGAAGTTCTACTGTAAATAGACCTCAGCCTGAAGCTTTACCTGATTCAACACCAGGTTCACGAAGACTCAAAGAGAAGGAGAAAGAGAAAGAAAAGGAGAAAGAAAAAGAAAAGGAAAAAGAGAGAGAAAGGGAGAGAGAGAAGGAAAAAGAACGCAAAGATGATGAAAAGCCAGTCAGAGAAAGGCGTGGCAAGAGTGAATCAGAGCCAGAGCCAAAGAGCGTAGTAGTCAAAAGTGAACCTGTTGACAAAAATAAAAATAGGGCACTGGTCAGTATTACTTTGTTTATTTTATCTATGTATGTTTTTCTATATTTTTCTTGGGGTTATTTTATCTTTATATTGTTATCTTTGATTTAGACTCGTGAGGAAAGAAAAATGGAGGCTATCATGAAAGCTTTTGAACGAATGGAAAAATTAGCTCAAAAGAAACAGGAAGCTCAAGTTCGTCAACAAAGACAGAAGTCTGGTGAAAAGAGTGAGGAACAGGATGTACCCACTGCAGCTCAGCGTAAAGAAGTACCAACAGTTGATAAGGCTAGAAGAAGAAAGTAAGTGTCACGTGATCTTCTGTTCTTTATTTGTTTAAACTTAAATATTGACTTTCAAAATCTTTGTGTCTCAGGCGGAAGGGGAGGGGGCGGTCTGCTAGTACACAGCAGAAGGAGATACCACAAGCTAGTACAAGATTGCAGAGACGTACTAGATTGTTAAGGGGATCAGGTAGAGATGTTGAACCAGATCCTGATCAAGAACAAGACAATGATATGGACCAGGATCAAGATGTGGAGCCAGATGCAGATGATGTATCTTCTGATGAGGAGACCCAGTCTCCTCAATCTATCTTCCAAGATGTTAATAACAAAACTCCTCCTCCCAATTTTGATAAGGTGAGTGACTGCTGCTTTCCTATCATAAATGCTGTTTATTTTAGTTTCATGGTATTTATAACAATTTTTTTCTTAATTCCTTCAGGATGCTGGAAGCTGTTCATCTCAAGGCTCAACACCACCCACACCTTTATCATCTGCATGTCTTCTAGTCGCTGCTGCTGTTGGACCTCTTGCCCCTGGTTTTAAATTCCCCAAAACAAAGAAGGTGAGCACACTTACCTTCTACCAATGATTTTTGGTGTTCTGTTCAATGACTCTGAATCATGATTTTTTGTTCTGTAACTCATGTTTATTTCATGTCATGTTACAGGGTCTGTTGACATCATGGTTCAAGACACCAGATGGGGCTTCAACACCTGAGCCAGGGAAAGCTGCACTTCCCTATATGAAACCACTTTCACCCGAGGGTGTAAATAACAATATGATCAATTCAGGGTCTGGCTCTGCTGGGTTTGCCAAAAAAAGATGGTTGCGTCAAGCTATTAGTGAAGACCATGCTGATTCACCCAATGGTAAAGCAGGACTTGGTGAAACAATAGAATGTGTCACACCACTAAAGAAGCGAAGACTTGCTCGTGAATCAATGTCAGCAGATTCTCCTGTCATTAATGACTTTGAGTCAGATCAGCCAACTCCAGATGAAGATACTTTAGATGGCCCTACTCCTGCTAATGAAAATGCAGATAATGAAGTAAGCTTTGGCAAATCAATACCTGATGTTTAGCTCTGAAAATTCATTCCATAACTTATTTTACTTTTTTTTCTTTTTCTTTCTAGATGAGTAGTCCTGATGAAGGTTCTCAATCAGCTGAAGATGTTGATATTCCCCCGGTTAAACACCCTCTGACAGCTTTTGAGGATGTACCATTGCCGGCGGTGAGTGTGCCGCCTTTACAAGAGTTTATGGGTGGAGAGTCTGAGGTGGACGAGAGCATAAGGTTCCCCCCTAAACCACCTCAACATTTTCCTGAACCCGAAATCCCAGTTCATATCCCCACTCTTGCTCCTCCTGTTCCTCTTCTGAGTGCCAGTATTCAGGGTCCTCCTACAGATCCGCGGAGACCTAGAGAGAATTCACTGAAACCCTCGGTGATGCCTGTCTCGCGCCCTGGTGTGCCCCCCCAAGGCCTCATAAATGCCTTCACCCCAATCCCTGCCCTTGCTCCTGTCGCCACTCCCCCTGTAGCTCGATATGTGGCTCCTCCACCAGCACCTCAACCCCCTGAACCACCAGCAATCAAGCGCAAGGTAATTTGCTGTCAACTTTTTCTTTCAAGTTTCGCTTACTTTTCTCTTTATATCTATCTATTTATCCTTATTTTTTATATCTATCTCCTCAGCTTTCAATATCTGAATATCGCCAAAGGAAGCAGCGTACTAGTACAGACACTGCAACACTTAAAGTGGAATCTTCACCCACTCTTGAACCATCCACCTTTAACAATGTCAAGCCTGTCAGCCGATCCAGAAGTAGCAGTACTAGTAGTAGCAGTAGTTTGTCTTCAGATGATGAATCAAGTTCTGCCCCAATCATGAACAAAATTCGTCAGCTTGATATGCGTGCTGCAAAAGTGGGAGCATTTGCCACAAGTGGTGCATCTTCCACTACAGGGTCTGCTATTCCAAGCATTGTGGGTGGCAGCATCTCTGGATTAAATATTGATCCCAATGCACTAGCCAAGGATGGAGAAGGAGACGATAAGAAAGGTATGTTGCAAAAGCATTTATGCCTTGAATGCGATAATCATGAGTAATGTTAAATCATATCTCACAAAATTGTTTTTTTTCCCCCAATTTTAGTCGGTTCATCCTGGAGCTCTGCGCCCACACTTGTGGAACGTCAAAGAGAGAATTTGACAGAAAGGCTTAGAAGAGAATTTGGCTTGTTTGTTAATGATGAAGCAGAAGAGGCAGAACGTGTCCGTAAGCTGGGTGAGTTTTCAAACCGCATTATAGATTTATAGGCGATGATTGTGAAATACAGCACAATGTCCGACTTCAGGGCGCAAGTCCGAAGTTATAGATACTGATGATTGTACCCGATCCAGCATGATTGTTTTATGTTCTTACATTTTGTTCCATTTTTAGCGCTTCTGGGTGCTGCTGGAGGCATTGTGGACTCTGCCGGTATTCAGCCTGCGGTTCCCGTCTCTACCCCAGTTACCGCTCTGGGAACTGCTCCTGTTCTCTTGCCTTCTGGGGCACCTATTCTCGCGCCTCCTGGGGCGCCCGTTCTCGCGCCCTCGGCGGCGCCAGTTCTCGCGCCCTCGGGGGCGCCAGTTCTCGTGCCTTCTGCGGCGCCCACTCTCGCGCCCTCGGCGGCGCCCATTCTCACCCCTTCTGGGATGCCTGTTCTCGCGCCTGCTGTAGCGCCGGCCGTAGCGCCGGCCGTAGCACCTGCAGTAGCACCGGTTCTGACTCCCACACCGGCTCCCACGCCTGCTGCTGCTGCTGTTGTTGCTTCTGCAATCCCCACTATTGCCCCGATCCCTGCAAAGGACTTCAAAGACAAGGAGAAGGATAAGGACGTGATGATGTCCAATCCCATCCCGTCTCTTGGCAAGAAGAAGGGGCCTCTCCCCCCTCCTCCTCCCCCTGGGCTGCCCCCCTCGTCTCAGCCGTACACGACGCCTCCGGGGGCCAACCCACCTCCTCCAGCACATCTGATGCCGCAGCCACCCCCTCCGGGGACGGGCCCGGGGCCCATGCCGCTTCCCTCAGGTCGGCCCTCCGTGCGGTCCAACTCCGGCTTCTACTACCAACAATTCGGCCGGCCATGAGGACAGCCCGGCGGCGGGCGAGGCCGTGGTGGAGGCCGTGGTAGTCGCCCCCGCCGTTACCAGTTCGTCCGCTAAGGGCCGAGGCCTAGCCCTAGCGGGGGAACCTTTTACAGCCATCAGTTCCTACAGTGATAGTATTTATTTGTCTATATAACGTTTATTATATAGGGAAATAGATGAACTTGTTAGATTGACAAATGCACCTTATTGCCAGTGGCTATGCGTTTAGTCATGGTATGTTGCGGTCGTGATTCTATATTAACTTCCCAGTTTTGTTACTTTTTTAAGAAATAATTGTGGTACAGGGTGTTCTGTACTTGACATGATTTTATAATTTAGATATTAACCGCTGTATTTGGTTAAAATCCTTTGTTCCTTAAACAGTTGGAGTTTAGCAGCATTGCGTTTGGACTGCATATTTTTGTGATTGCTGATGAGTTTTGTATGATTTAAGGAAAAGTGTTAACTTAATTGTTGCTTTGTGATGAACTCCATTCATAGTTATTTGAATACCAGTGTTGTGATTGTTAATGATGATATACAGTGCTGTGTATATTTTGGAAAACACCTAATTCTCCCACTTTTTTCATATTAAAGTGTTGCAGAAGTGTATTGATGGAAATGTGCAAATTATGTATTTATTGTAATTATT